ATGCCATGGCGATCCTGGGCGTAGGCCAGCCGACAACCCCCGGCTGGGGGTCCGGGGTTGCCACCTGGCCTGCGCCCCAGCCCTCATGCCTCCGATTGCCACTATCGATCGGCACAGGCCAGCCGGCAACCCCAGCCCCTGGGGTCGGGTTTGCTGCCCGGCTTTCCAATGGCGATCACCAGCTGGGGGGTGGGGAAAGGCGGCCTTTGCCCACCCCCTAGCTCTTGCCTGCCGCCTGGGTTGCCGATCACCATTCTTCAGTCCTTCCCCTTTAGCCTCCCAGCATTGGGCGTATGCAAATTAGCCGCCATCTTTGTTGGCGGTTAACCGCCATCTTAGTTGGCAGTTGATTTGCATAAGGATATGCTGATTAGCCAATGGGAAGGGTAGCGGTCGTACGCTAATTACCATTTTTCTCTTTTATTAGTGTAGATGATATATGTATGTGTATGTATGCTAAAAGTTTTATATAGGTTTATATTGATAAATAAGAATTGTAGGTGCATAGTGTACATATACAGAATTGTGAAAATGTGGAAAATGAAGGGATTTCAAGAGGGATATTTCTGTTTTCCCCATAATTCTTGAAAACTACACTTAAAATATTCAGAAGAGTGAAATCAAGAAATGTAAGCCCTAGCCCCCCAGTAGCTCAGTTGGTTAGAGCTTTGTTCTGATAAGCCAAGGTTGCAGTTTCAATCCCCAGTCAATCAACCAATAAATGCATAAATAAATGGAACAACAAATCTCTCTCTCTCTCTCTCTCCCTTCTTCTCTCTAAAATCCATAAATAAAGATTAAAAACAAAATAAATTTTTCACATATTAGTTTAAGAGTTTATTGTTAGTGCTTGTTAAATTTGTCCATCAGGAAGTAGGTTCTTACTAAATCTTCTTCAGGTAAAATCACTTATGTTAATTTGGTAAATTAATTTTCTCTGCAACTGAATTTAGTTTTTCCTCAGATCTCAAATATGCATATGACATATAATGCCACTTTTGTTAATATGACTCTAGTCAATGTTGATGCTAGAATCTGTACAGTGGCAGTCCTTTCGGTAAAGAGGCAACACACACCCTGTTTCGCCTAGATTTTGTATAACAAATCAGTAAAAGTAAACTTTTCTATAAAACCTTATTTATATTTTATATGCAATATTTTTGTTAATCTTATTTAGAGAAACTTTAGCAGTCTAATATGATTATGATGTCGTCACCAATGAAAATGAGAGCACACAAAAGTTTTTGTATTTATTTGCTAGGACCAGAATATGGCAACTGACTAATATTATTGGAAAATAAAATAAATTAATGAAACTTTGCATTCACTTAAGCATTTTTGTAAACTGGAAATAAGCATTTCACTACTAGAATTTGTTACAGGTCTCTAATCCTTTTAAAAGTTCTAAAAAACAGCCCTGGCTGGTGTGGCTCAGTTGGTTGAGCATGTTCTACTGCACTGAGTGATTGTAGGTTACATTACTGGTGCCCTGGGTTGCAGGCTTGATCTCCAGTAGGGGGCATGTGGGAGGTGGCTGATAAATGTTTCTCTCATCTTTGTCTCTCTCTCTCTCTCTCTCTCTCTTCCTCTCTGGGAGGGTGGGTGGAAGGGAGATAATCAACCAAAGACTTTGTATGCATAAATGCATAACCCATGGACACAGACAATAGGGTGCTGGAGGCCTGAGGTGGGGGAGGGGGAGGTGGGGCAGGCTGGAAGGGATTAATAGGGAAAAAAAGGGAGACATATGTAATACTTTCAACAATAAAGAATACTATGTAATAAAGAGCTAATACACTAATTAGACCGGAAGGCGGAATGACCTTCTGAATGACCAGTGGGCAGGGGGCAGGGCTGCAGGGCCACGAGGCAGCCAGGATTGTGAGGGCTGGACAGTCGGGGCTGCAAGGGCTGAGCCCTTGCATGAATTTCGTGCATCGGGCCTCTAGTCCTATATAAAAAAAGCCTAATATGCTAAGTGTCTGACCATTTGTTCAACCATTTGACCAGTCGCTATAAAGCTCACTGACCACCAGGGGGCAGACTCTCCAACCAGTAGGTTAGCTTGCTGCTGGGGTCTGGCCGATTGGGACTGGGCAAGATTGGCCAGACATGCCCTGGAGCCCTCCCACAGTCCTTCCCCAGCCGACCAACCTCCCAGAGTCCCTCCCCAGCTGGTCGGCCCTGATTAGCCCTGATCGGGACTGGGTGAGAAGGGCCAGACACACCCTGGAGCCCTCCCTGGCCCCAATCATGCACCAGTGGGGTCCCTTGGCCTGGCCTGCACCCTCTCACAATCTGGGACCCCTTGGGGGATGTCAGAGAGCCAGTTTTGACCCAAAACCCACAGGCCAGGCTGAATCCATACACCAGGCCTCTAGTTATTAAATAAATAAATAATGTATTTAAATAAATAAATAAATAAATAAATGTTCTGAAAATCATAAATTCTTTTCATGTGCTTGTGGAAAACATAGCTAATGACAAAACTTAACTTAAACCAATATGTGGCTATTTGTTGTCTTTACTTATCCCACTTAGTGTGATACATTGTTTGCAGAAATATTAATTTATTTAATTGTGAATTACCCCAATTCTACTGTGAGTCACACATAATACAAAATATCTGCACCATACTGCTTTTCTAACATCTGAAAAAATTATTGTTTGAAGCATGTTTCATCCTAAGGGTTTTAGATAAGAACCATACTAACAATGAAGAAAACAGATCAAGTTGCCAGGAGACCTGGAGAGATCAGAAGTGAATAAGATAAGTGTTTGGGTAAGTGGGACTTTCTTTTCCCTAGATGATTTAAAATTAAGGATGGTAATCTTGCCCAGAACCAAAGCTGTTTTGAGACACAGAAGATAAAGTAGAGTTAGCAGTATTCAGAAGGGAGGTCCAAATAAGGTACATTATCCTTGTAAATGACCTTCCAGGTTACCACTAGCTGAACATTCCATTGGAAATTATTTTCTGTTATAATTTTATCTGCTGGATCCTAGAGCTAACACACCTCTAGCCAGCTGGAATGTCTAGCTGAGTCCCATCCAGTAATTAAAATCCACCTTCTTTCTGAGGAGCTACTCTTTAAACATTACTAGACTAGCCCTACTGCCATGACTGATTTGTTTCAACTTGTCTTTAATCCATGTAATTTGTCCAATTTTACTTTCATCCTAGCTGAAGTGAATTATAAATGCAATACTCCAAAATTAGGATAATTATGTGTTATAGAATAGTATAGTAAATGATAATCAGGTTTCATTATCAAACTTCTAAACTAATATCTTTTAATAAACTTTATTTTACATTTTTTGTTTGATAAAAGTTGAAATTCAAAGCATCATTGGAACACTGATTTATTTCAGAAATTTTTCTGATTATCATATTTAGGTCACTTAAATTTAGAGATGCTTTTTATTTAGTTAGCTTCAATTTTCAAGCATTTTTGGAAAATTCAAGTACTTCTGAAATACCCTTTTTCTTATTTGAAATCCTATATAATAAAGAGGTAATATGCAAATTGACTGTCTCACCATCACAAGATGGAGGCACCCACAGTGGGGGTGGGGCCGGCTGCTCCGCTCGCCTGTCGCCAGAGTCTCCTCAGCCCCACTGGGGGCCTTGAATCCTCCTGCACCCCCCACTGACAGTTCGCCCAGGCTCCTCCAACGAGCTGCCCATCCCTCTCTTCCTCCCTCCCCCGAAGCTGAAGCCTGACTGTGGTGTCCAACAAATTGGAAGTTATAACTCATGTCGTTGAGAGTATCCTCCATTCCTCAGCCAGGGCCGGCTGCTTGGAGTGCCTGCTGCCGGAGTCCCCTCAGCCCCACTGTGGGCCTTGGGTCCTCCTGCACCCCCCACTGACTGAGACTCAAGCCAGCTGCAGATGGCGGCAGCCACTGCCCAGGGCCCGCCCGAGGCGCAGGCAAGCCTCAGATGGTGGCTGTCCAGCCGTCCAGGGCCGGCCTGAGGCTCAGGTAACCAGGGCCGTCTGAGGCTTGTGCTGCCAGCAGTGGCAGCAGCAGAGGTGTGATGGGGGTGTCGCCTTCCCCTGATTGCCGGGTCGCCTCCTGCCCCTGAGGGCTCCCGGACTGTGAGAGGGGGCAGGCCGGGCTGAGGGACCCCCCTCCAGTGCATGAATTTTCATGCACCGGGCCTCTAGTTTTTATATAAAACTACTACCAATGGTATACTGATTTGCAACAATGAAGTAACTGAAACACTGAGACAATTGGAAATATGATTTCAGTCTCTTTTTCCAAGTTAAAGGAAATTACAGAAATACCTTGTTTAATCTTGAATTCTGCTTGCCTTTCATTTAGATCTGTTTTTGATTATGCACAGCAAACT